GGGATCGAGTCCCGCATCGGGCTCCCTGCTCGGCAGGGAGTCTGCTTCTCCCTCTGACCCTCCCCCTCTCATGCTCTCTCTCTCTCTCATTCTCTCTCTCAAATAAATAAATAAAATCTTAAAAAAAAGATAAAGAGAAGAGAGGGGCACCTGGCTGGCTTAGTCTGGAGAGTGTGGGAATCTTGATCTCAGGGTCGTGAAAAAAGATACCACCTTGGGCGTAGAGATAACTTTAAAAAAAAAGAGCTTAAAAAAATAAAGAAAGAGAAGAGAAATGAGTAGCTAGAGAAGACATTAGGGAAGAAGGAGCGTGTGGGCTCCTTCTCAAGAGGATGGGTAAGATTTGCCCGGGAGAGTGGGGAGAAGGAGGGTGTTTCTAGGGGAGCAATGTGGGCAGTGACACTGCAGTGGGAATGAGCCTGGCCCCTTAGCAGGACAGCAAGACCAAACCGCATAGAGCACGGGGATGTACGCTGAGCTGAAAATAGGATTTAGATAGGAGGAGTGAGGCCTGATTATGAACGCCTTGAAAAACCAGGCAAATTACTTTAGACCTGAGATAGCGAATGGAGAGGAACCAGGTTGAAAGGCAAGGAGAGAGTCGAGGAAGTGATAGTTTAGAAAAATGAGACGGACAACAAATGCTGAAGAGAACAGAAAGGGGAGCGTCTCATTCATTCATCCATTCATTCATTCAGCAGATACTGAGGACTTAATTAAGAGCCAGGCTTGGACCTCCAGTCTGCAGGAGAGGCAGGGTGAGGTTCTGGATTAGAATACGGAGGGAGGGATCTGTATAAATCACATTTCAAAGGTCTTGGTGACTCACTGATACAGAGGATGAAGGAAATGAAGGAAAAGATGGTTAAAGATAATTCCAAAGGTTCAAGACTGACATGACTTTCCACCTTTACTGGGAACCTCAAAAGGCACTGAGAAGAAAACAATGAAAGTATAAAAAGAGCTTTGATGGTGTGGCACAGTCAACAAAACCCCCAAAGACCTGTTCTTTATCCTGGGAGCTCATTTACATGTAGTCTGTAGGTAAGAAACTTCAGTGAGAAAAACCACTTCTGTGTGACTAAATGCTGAGTTCCCTTGGCAAGGAGCACAGACCTCTGTCTACTCAGACAGGCTCCATCAATCCTCCAACACATCCCTCCATCATCTAAAACTAAACCGATCTCACTAAGAAACAGGGCTGCCCACTCCTGCCCAGCCAACAGCTTTGACTTCGGAGAAGGGGCAAGGCAAAGTCGACAGGGGGGAAACAGAAAGTAGCCAGGGTCACATAGGGGGCTGGACCTTAGGGAGGGGGCAGTGGTACAGGATATCATTTTAAATAGAGGATTCCAGCACTGCTCTCATTTCTACACCCACTTCCTAGTGTATTACAATTACTGGTCCTCAGATAGATAGGAAGGCCTTAAAGAGTCTTTATCAAATAAAAAAAAAAAAAAGGATTCTTTACCAAATTGCAGCGCTTTGTCCAGAAACGATTTCAAATGTGCATATCTATGCATACATTAACTCCCAGTACAGCTAGCATATGGCTGAGACACAAATTTTTCTTAATAATTTATATGTTGACTACACAAATTTTAAGCTCGTTTTAATTTTACATTCAGCAACAGTACAGTTCACTATTGGGGCACATCCTGAAAGCCTACTCACTGGAAAAATGCAAGAAATGAAGAGTGTAGCTATCAAACTTCTATTGCTACAAAGAGTGTTCTGGGCCAAAAAAAAACCACACAAGTCCCAATACCTTGGGGAAATCTAGACTTGCATGCAAAATTCAAGGCAGTATTCTCTCAGCATAGCCCAGCTTTAGCAAAAGCAGATCTTTACTTAATTATAAGTAGAAATGAATACTCTTTTCTGCAGAATGATGCCTTCAACTACTTTTATATTTAAAAGTAAAAGTAAAAGCCCTCAATGTCAGTGTCCAAGTCAGACTTGAAAAGGCACATTACGAAAGAAACGGCTGCTCTGGAAAAATCCTTCAACATCCCTCTCATAACATCTACTCAGATTAGTAAGAAGAAATCAGAGCAGAAAGAAACCCAGTGAAAAATGGTTGCACATAAATGTGGGAGGATTCCTGCTAAGACCCCATGTGGGACAGCCACAGGCCTAGTCAGGAAAATTCCAAGAACAAGTCCTCCACATCCTACTAAAGGGGCTTCAAACCCGGCAAGGGTCTTTCCCCTCTCTAACACCGAAAGGTAAACACCCATTAAAATCTTCCAGACTCCGAGCAACCCGGAGTTTCCATGCCAAGAGGGAGAGAGAGCCACATGACCGTGGAGAGAAACTACAGCCCATTAGCCTCTCCCTCTCCTTGCAGCCCCTCGCGGGGGCCCCGGGAGGGATCCCTCCGCAGCTCCAGTCCTTCACCCCCAGTGACAGGTCGCTCAGCAGAAGCCCCGAAATCTCTGGCCCCACTTACTGGCGTCGCGAACCCAGGCGGGGGCCCGCCCCTGCGGTGAGCGCAGCTCCTCGGCGACTGGGGCGCAGCGGCCCGCAGGGGAACTGGGGATGGGGGCGATCCCTGCTAGGACAGACCGAGCGGTCCGTGCAGGGACGCCCGGGAGGTCCGGCGAGTCGCACGGGCCGCGCGGCGCATGGTGGAGCAGCAGGAACCCGGCCGCTCTCCAGCCTCCGGCAGAAAAACAAACAAAAGGCAGGGAGGCTTCTAGCGGGGACGACCGGCCGCTTTCCCTGGGAAAAGTTACCCTGCAGCTCCCCTCGCTGGCCCAGCGCGTCCCTGCACCGCGTCCAGGCCGCCCGGGGGCGCCGAGCCGCGGCGCTGCGCTCCCCGCCGGGGCGGACCGAGCCCAGGGATCCCTGCGGCCCACTGACCGCCCGTGCGCCCCCCAGCTCCACACGCACGTCTTTTTTGCAGGTCGGCTGCATCAGGTGTCAAGATTTAGAAATGGAGGCGGCGCACCCACGTTCTGAGTGTATTTCATTTCAGGTAATCGTGGTGAAAACCTTTTCCCGGCTTTAAAAAAACGTAACCGGGGATGCACGACATTGTGAATGAAGTCAATGCCACTGAAATGTACACTCCAACATGGTTAAGATGGCAGATTCTGTTTTACCGCAATAATATTTTAAAATAAAAACGCAACGGATTGCCCGATAGCATTCATTTGAACTTGAAGAGTTCTATGGTTAGCAACTTTAGCTGTTAGACTGGATTGTTATCCAGGTGGGAAACGGACTAGATACGATCTAGGCAACAATTGTCCTCTGTGTGTAACTAGTTATATGTAATCTAACACTTATACTTGCATGTTAAACACTCGTGTCATAAATTATATTGTAGACATTACCTTAAATCATCCACATAAGGACTGGTTATGAAGTGACTTGAAAAAAGAAACTGCTTCAAGGCCCCCGATTTAACTTACAGAGGGGCACCTGGGTGGCTTAGTCAGTTAAGCATCTGCCTTCGGCTCAGGTCATGATCCCAGCGTCCTGGTATCGAGCCCCGCAACCAGCTCCCTGTTCCGCGGTGGGCCTGCTTCTCTCTGTCCCATCCCCTCTGCTGTGTTCCCTCTCTCTCTGTCAAAATAAAAACAAATAAATAAAATACTTAAATTTACATAATTGCCCCAGGACTTCATATTTTTCAGAACTAGTTTAATGCCCATAGCAGAGGGGGCAACTTTAGTTGGAGGCATCAGAATCATCTGAGGGCTTGGGAAAACAGATTGCTGGTCCTTATTCCCAGAATTCTGGTGCTGATACTTCTGGTCCAGGGAACCACACTGCCCGAAGCAACACAATTTTAATCCATAAAGGAATAGTCCATTTACACACTGTGGATCTTTCTCTGAGTTTAAATTCTCCAGCTCATCACGATATCGATTTTCTCTCCTTTTATTTTTGAATTCTAAGAACTCAAGGCATTGTTTTTTCCTAATAGAATCTATGACAAAGACCTGAATCCCTCTCTCTTCTTGCTCCTATAGAAGAAACCCACAAGATACATGTCCCAGATGGGAAAGGATCATCTGGCCCCTTGGCAGTCTTTGTGTTTATCCATATTAACACCCCCCAAACCATATGGCAAATGAAAATTGAAAGTCTTTATCAATGAAAAGATAGGGAGACAAGAGGGGTAACCTAACAAATTATATAACTACTCCCATGAAAAGTGATTTTTAAAGTATCTAAAATTACCAGTTTTAGTCAAATCCAGTTGTCCAAGCAAGTCTACCCAGCAAATACAGGGACTCTCTTGGTCTACCTTTAACAAGGGTCCACTGAGCTAGTAAGTGATTTAGGTCAGGAAAATTACAATCCTGTAAACATAATATGATAGGATAATACAAACCTTAAGTCTAGTGGATACAGCAGATACTTGTCTAAAATAGAACATTAGTAACTGAAACAAAACAGCATTTTATTTATCTATTTATTTATTTATGATTTATTTATGATTCATTTATTTGACAGAGAGACAGAGAGAAAGAGCACAAGCAGGGGGAGCAGCAGAGGGAGAGGGAGAAGCAGGCTCTCCATTGAGCAGGGAGCCCGATGAGGGATAGATCTCAGGACCCCAGGATCATGACCTGAGCTGAAGGCAGATGCTTCACTGACTGAGCCACCTAGGTGCCCCCATAATGGCATTTTAATAAAATAGGTGCTTAATTTATCATTATGAATGCTAATTATTATTTTATTAAGCTTTATTATTAGCAAGAATAGAAATCATCTGTATTAATTAACCAAGATATCTTAAATTAGCATTGAACACGTTTAATGAAATTGAGTAGTTCTGAAAACATTTCAATACCTCATTGTTCATTTGCGAAACTGATTTTTTGTGTTGAGTTACATATATCATTTTCTTCAATTATAAATCCTAACATCTGACCTTCCCCCCCATTTAAATTGCAAAATCCAATTTTAAATAGGTCATTGGGAGGAAAGTCATCTTTAAAAGGCTTTTTAAGTTTCCTTTAAAAATTAAAAACTTAAATTTTTTGGCCTTCGTTAAACATGAAGTTACTTTTTCTAGGTAGCTGATTTAGGGAGCAAATAAAAACACCTATCCGAAGGGTGGATCCTAATATTAAAAGAAAGCAGCTCACCATTTTGCCACCCCCCCTTTATTACTCTATTTTTCTGCCGAAGATGTATTGCATTTCTAATATCTCCAGAATAAAATAATGGATAAGAGACTTAAATTCTGTGGGCTCGATGAACTAGAGTCTTGGAAACCTGATCACTGCTATATAGTACCTGACGCCTGGTAGAAATCATAGCAACTCAGTAAATGTTCGCCCAAAGAAGGTAAGAAGCTGTAAGACTGTAGGTTTTCACAGAGCATGCAAACTTCCGTAATGAAAATAATGTAAAGTGTGGAAAAATAATAAATTGCCTGATAAATAAGAGGGTCTTCTTAGGAAACAAAGTCAGGTGTTGGACTTTAACAGGCAGGGCTAGTATCGCGGGTAAGTTCCGGCACTTTATGAGAAACAGCGGACTACAAATCCCAGAGTACATCTCGAGCGCCGTCTCCGCAGGACTCGGGTTTCAGGGCCTTAGGAGCCGCCTCAACGTCTTTCTCTCGTTGCATGATGGGATCTGTAGTAAGACGTGCCTTGCGGTGGCTCTATTTTCCTCTTGCTTCCCTCTTAAGCCTATATTTTCCTCAGCCTCCAGATCCGTGCTTTCAAAAAGTTTAGTCATTGTAACAGCCTGTGACTATAGTGGAGTTTCACTATTTCCCTGCATTCCTGGCGTGGGACTCTAGACAACCCCCGAAAAGCGTGTAGCGACCCCTCGGAGCACCAAGTTCAGTGCTCTTTAAGGAATGTTTGCCTTAGGGTCTCAACCCTAAATTTGAGTTATACACATTATTTAGATAATGGTGGTTCAAATTTGCATAAGGGGTCACTGAGACAAATACGTGGGTTGAATTTGGGGTCAGCAAATTGGTGACCTGACTGCCAATTCAGCCTCGCGCACACAGTAGGCCCGCACCACCGACCCCTCCACTAGGCAGCGCACGCGAGGCAGGGGAGCCGTGAGGCGCACGCAGGCAGTGCGATACTGCGCATGCTCAGTGCGTCGGCCCAGGTTTCCGCAGTAGAGGGGGCAGCTCCGCCGCGGCGTCCGGGGTTTCCAGCAGCGCCGACGTTCTGGTGTTCGCACGGTCCTCGGCCTCCGCTGGCAGCGGGCGTCCCTCCGCTCGGCGACTTCCCGGCCGTCGCTCTAGCGCGCCCGGATCTGGCCCCCTGCCCCGCGAAGATGGCTGCCGTACGCCGGGCCCGCAGTTACTGCCGCTGCCTGGTGCGCTTCTCCGACCGAGAACTCTGCTAAGCCCTGTTGCAGCAGACGGGCAGGAGTAGACACCCGGACACCCAGCACACCTCCTCGGGGGAGCGGTGCAGAGGGGGCGCGGAGAGCCCCCGACCGCGGCCGGCTGCCCCGCCAGCATGGTAACCCGGGAGGGGGCTCGGAGGGACACTTCGAGGCGGGAGTGCGGTGTGCAGAAGGGGCTAGGCCTGGGGGGAGCCCCTAGAGAGCGGGAAGTGGAGACTGGGAGGAGTGGGAGCTGCTCGGCCGCCACCCACTGTAGGGCCCTTGGCCTGAGCGGGAGTGGAGCGGGTGCCAGCCCTGACCGCTCCCCGGGGTTCCTTCCTGCTGAACTCCCCAGTAGCCGGGACCCGATGTGAGGAAGCGCGGGTGTGCAGGACAGCAGAGAAGAATGCCTCTTCTTGGTTCGCTGAGGACACTGAGCCAATCTTACCCTCCTCGAGGGATTTTATCAAAAGCAGTGAGCATAGGTTGAGGTGAGCCATTGCAGCGTCTAAAACTGGCGGGGGGGCGGGGCGCGGAGGGGAGCCTTGGCAAACGGGGACACTTGTTGATTGCTACCCCTCCGGAAAGCAGTACCCACGGAGAAGCCGTTCAGGTCCTTTAAGGAGTCCTGGGATTAGGACGCACCTGCCCCATGACACGTCAGTGCGGAGGGTAGGATGTTGGCAGGCGGTACTGGCGGAGTGGGATCAGAGGGATTATGTCTCACTTCGTAGCGGTGAGGGCCTGAGCAGCGTCAGTGCGGTCCAAATGGAGAGACACTGAGTTAAGCTCCAGAAATTGACAACGCAAATTCCATGGGACTATTGCATGCTGGAATATGTAGTCTCTGCTCTATGCTACCTTTCTTTGGCTTTGAATAAATTTCCCATTTAAGAAACTAATCTCTGGCTAGGATTAAATGAATCAAGTATGAAATGATACTAAACTAATGAGTTCATCGTAGACAGTCAAATATTTATTGAATAAATGGATGGCTGAAAGAATTTATTAAGTTAACCTGGAGGATAGAAAAAGCAGTAATTGACAATGCCCTTCAGCTTTCAGAAGTGGTTCTCTAACCAGGATTAATCACTTAACTTTTTATATTTCATTAATCCTGTGTGTAAAACAGGAGTAAAATGATGGAGACATAAACTACTCAAGCGAAAGGTGCTGTGTAGGTCAGATTCAATTATGAAAAATAAAGTGAAAATCTCTGGGTGACAGCTGGGGACCTACTTATTTCAAGTGGTATTTGAGTTGGCAAAATGTAGTAAAACTCCCAATTTGATAGTTTAATAGTTATCGGACTGCCAGAATCAAAGTAATAAAG